TCGTGCCACGGGACCGATACCGACCTTGTGCCCCTTTCCCGATGTCCGCGAAGTAGTTCGCCGCAAACGTGACTGTCGTCAACACCTGGCGTGACATATATAGTGTCTCTCCGTGAGCGCAGTTTCGTCGACTCACACCTCGAATTGACGTGGCAAAACAGGGGCTACAATATTGGGGTGGGCAGTTAATTGGTCCACGCAGTCCTCCCATTTCATTTCGGCTTCACTCAGACAGGTGTCGATTATTTTTGAACAGTTCATCAGCTGTTGCTCTCTTTCGGACATAGTTGCAAAATAGCAAATCCTCGCTCAGCTCATCTGTATCCACGTATCTGACATATACGCAATTAAAGGTGGGGTAAGTAAGTTTCAGAAACCGGCTCGAGATACACTTTTTGTTATATTCCATGGAATTCTCTTAACATCCCGATAGCAATGAATATCTTAAGTGCTTTGACAAAAAATCCATAAAAAAATGTCATCTGTGGAACCCGTAATACTGTAAAAACTACAACCAATCCGTTTAGCCGGATTGCCGCCCTGTCTGTCAGCCTTCCATCTCGTGCACGCACAAATGTATCTCGTGCCCTCATTGGGCGTGCCGTCATTGGGCGTGCATTGCAGCAGTACTTCAATGACTCGCCAGCAACAGGCGGCCACATTCACCATGGTAGAGTTAGGTTCAACAACGTCTACTGGTCGCAAAAGAAAAAATGTAACGGAGCAAATTAAGAACAAAAAGAAAGTGGAAACTAGAAGAAGTCAAACCAGAGTGAATATCGGAGTTGCTTTGGCTGTATAGTATTGCTAACCTAGATGTGTTTAGCTTTGCCTGATATGTAACGTTACTGCAGCCTGCTCTCGCGGAGGAGGTGCTCTGTAAGGAAGTCTGAAGGAAGGGGCGGATTCTTTTTGGCTGTGTACTTTCAAATTTTAATGCACTCGAGCTGGTTTCTGAAACTTACCTACCCCACCTTTAAGATGTATGCTGGACTTGATAATAACCACATTTCGGTGATAATAATGACTTTCTTTACAATTTTTCGAGGCACTTTTTTGTGTGTCTTGACCTTTTCTGAGCAAATCTGTTGTCAGAAAAATACGAGTACATTACGGCCTGACATTGATGTCTCTGTTTTTTTCGAATGGAATTTGGAGGCAGTGTCTTATGGATAAATGATTGATATAACCCTCTCCAGGCTCAACGATGGCATGTTGGCAATGATCCCTTCGGTCGCCAGTGGCTGTCGGGCGATGTCGTCGGTTGTATGATCGACCTGACTGATAATAACATCATGTTCACACTCAACGGAGAAATGTTGATCAGTGACTCGGGCTCAGATATGGCGTTCAAAGACATCGAGATTGGTGAAGGTAAGAGCCATAGTACCTTATTTGATCAGAATAAGTAGCAGTAACGGAAAGTAGCTGGACGATTTTGGCTGATATCGCAATGATATGTCATTTTTCGATATCAGAGTGAAGAACCATTTTGTGTGTGATCTGTACAAAACAAGTCTTTAGATTAATGTTTATATGCCAGGACTTCTCTCCACAGCTCCACAGTACGCCTTTCCAGTATTTTTTACATATTTTGGCTTTAGCGAATATTGTACTTACTGCGCATTTGATAGAACCATGATTAATTGTGCAACACTAACAGGAAAACAATATTTCCAAAAACGTATTTGGGTTTATTCTGTATACATTTGTATGAGATATCAGCACAAATGTATAGTAATCAGAAAATAACTTTCCCTATAATTAATTCCTGTGGTTTCACTCATCAGGTTTTATCCCAGTGTGTGCGCTGGGCCTGGGTCAGGTTGGCAGGATTAATCTCGGACAGAATGTCAGCAGCCTGCGCTACTTTGCCATCTGTGGCCTACAGGAAGGTTTTGAACCTTTCGCCATCAACATGAAGCGAGACATCACCATGTGGTTCAGTAAAAGTCTGCCCCAGTTCGTGCCTGTACTCCACGACCACAATCATATTGAGGTAATAACTCAGTCACCCTTTTAATTATATAAGAAGCTTGACATGTGAAAACTGATAATCTTTTTACCTTTAAACCTATTGTCTCCCAGATCTCCCGTGTGGATGGGACGGTGGACAGCGCCCCCTGTCTGAAGCTGACACACAGGACCTTTGGCTCGCAGAACGCCAACACTGACATGATGTTCCTCAGACTCAGCATGCCGGTCCAGTTCCACGAGACCTTCAAGATCACAGCAGGCACAACCCCTCTCACCCGGGCCCTCACCATACCTGAAGAGGAGGTGATAGTGGTGGAACCCGACTCAGAGTTTGAGGTTCTGAAAAGGTCTGCTGGCCGCAAGGAGCAGGAGGACGACAAGAAGGAGCCGTCTGTGGCGAAGGAGCTCTCCATGGAGAATGAGAAGGACTCAGTGTCGGAAAAGGGAAAGAAAAAAGGGTAAGTGTGGCAGGCTGTTTCTTTGAGAGAAGAGGAACAAGCCTGCAGAGTATTTAAGGTGGGAAGCATTAATTCAGTGGGTGTATAATGAGAACTGGATACAGCATCAAAGGGTTGGCCTCATTCATTGTTATGAGAGTTGGTCAGTGGTGCCGAAAGCAACGAGGGCCTGACTTCCAAGAACATAAATGCCATCCTCCTTATCAATGGGGCCCAGAGAGCAGGAGTCCTGCCTCTAATCTGCAGATTTGGCTTTTAGGATATTTTAACTTAAAGGGGACCTATCATGCAAAATGCACTTTTTGATGTCTTTTATACATAAATATGTGTCCCCGGTGTGTCGGGGAACTCACGCAGCGTCATAAAATAAAATCCTTTTTCTTTTCCTCCGTACCCAAATCTTTTAAAAACGGGGTTTACGTACTGTAACCCAGCTTCTATGAGTATAGGCGCAGCCCTCTAAGGCTATCGCTATTGGGCAATCCCACTGCGCATGCGCAGCACTGACAGACTTAAGCCATGCCCACCTATGACGTAGGCCCCAC